GGGGAGCAAGATACTTTGACACGTCTCACCGGATGCAAATTGGTCACGACTCGAAAAATTTGAGGAATTGCCAGAAACGTCAGTGGTCTCTAGGTACGAATATACTGGTTTTTTTGAACGCCGAAAATACCGCTGGCACCGGCTGATTCCACACCAGTTTGTAATATCCCTACACTTTTCTATAATTATCATCTACGGAAATTACTATTATACTGCGGCTATTTTGTGATCATTTCAAACGTATTTACATGTTTTTACATGTCTGGACATACGGCTTAATTTGTCTGAATTTAATAGTGCTTTATCATCATGAGTAATATTTATTAACACATGATTTATACGCAAAATTACACGTCAGTAGTAGTACGAACGCCGAATTATACGTATAGGGCACAATAGATATAACCTTGACGCGTGAACTGTCTTCTGGTCAAGTTACAAGGGCAATTAATGCCTGGAAGTTTTTATGGGGTAACATCAGCCAATGTTATGAAGGCTGTGTTAATGGCTGTCCATTCGGAATATTTATGTTAAATTTATCGTTATTTGCTATGATAGACATTTTAGATTCAGGGTATACTAACAATAAGACGTCGGACGAATAATTAACTATTTTATATGCAGTCTTTTACAACAGTTTTACTATAAATCTTTTCATGAACTACCCTTAAATAACGCATTAAATACTAACTGTTTACACAAAATGTATAAAGTTGAAATAATACATTTGGCTTATAAGGACCCTTAGGTGTTTTATAATATATAATAGAACCTTTAAGCAAAATATGAGAACAAAGGTATGTGTTGTTTCATAGAAAAAGTTCATCATCGGGTTCAAGAAATACCACTTATAAGAAGTGTTGAGACTAGGGGTCCCACAACTGGTGTAGAACATAATAACACTGTGGAAATGAATTGACCTCTCCAGGCTCTTTGAAGCAGAATTAATTATATTGTAAATATGGTTTTTTAATTTTTGTCAAACAATCATGTCAAATGTTTAAAAAAATTGTCCCGCTGAGTTTCTATGGCCATTTCTTCGCCGGCCAGTGACTTTTTTCGTTTGTAAGTGAGTTTATATATTGAAGAATGTTATTTGAATTTGAAAAAATCATTTTAACTGTATATCACAATCGATGTTTCATAATGGGTTGTAACTATCATTTGAATTCCTTTACTGCCTACCGAGTCCCAGTTTAAAAGATTGGGTCTCATTGAAAAACATTTTGGCAATTACTATTTTTATGACAAAAGTTTTTGACAGTGGAGGTGAACGTGCCCAATTTATAAAAATGGTAATAAGACTAATCCTAGCAATTGCAGGCCAATATCTGTGCTACCAGTAATTTCTAACGTTTTTGAAAAAATTATATACTCAAGATTTTATGAACATTTAAACAAAATAAATTTTCTTATTGATTATCAATACGGATTTATATATAAATCTAAAATACTAACTGCGACGATAGATTTAGTAAGTAAAATCAGAGAAACTATTGATAACTAGCTGACCCAGCGAACTTTGTATCGCCTGACAGACAATGAATGTCGTGTTACCTTTTATCTGAACTTAATTTAGGCTTTTATGAACGAAATACAATAAATAGAAAAGAAATGTTAAATTTATTACTATATATAATAAAGAAAGACAATAAAATCAATATAAATCCAAAATAAAATGGCGTACTTAAACAGGTGTTTGCTGACATGATTGAATTAAAATATATATTGTGCATATACAGAACCGTCTTTACCATAATAGGGTACACGGGGCCCGTTGACCGTCCCCTGTCGTCTCAGGGTGAACGTATTCGCTTAAATTAAAAAAAACTCTTTATTGTTGGCAGATATACTCCTACAGAAGTTTATAGAATAAATAAAAAATAGAAGATAATAGCAGAAAAATGTTTTTGTCATTCCCTTTTTTTATACTTTCAACATGGGATGTATTCGGGTGAATTCACTTCAAGCACCTTGTGGCTTTTTGTTTTGTTATCAAGCGCAAGAACCACGTTCAATTTCAGTTTTATTATCTCCAAACGCGTTCCATTGTTTGTTCATAGTTTTTGTTGGTATAGGTTTTGAAGAATGATGACTACCAAAAACTACTAGACTACCAAAACCTGCAGTTGTAAATTTAGCGGTGGTGAACCAGGCACATCCAAGTAGTTTAAAAATTCAGTTGGATAATTAGTGGCTTCGTCTTCGTTTATTACACAGTGAATAAACTTCAATGAATGCAGGTACTCTGCATTCATTCATTCATTCATTCGTGCATGTATTCACCGAATTTCAATAGTCTACTTACAATATGCCTTAAATGTTTTGGAAAAAAGTAGCAAATATTGAATCATCCAACTGTTCTCGACCACGAAACGTTTTCTTTCACTTTCGTTGTGATAGTTCTACCGTTATCCAACCAGTGATGGCAATTTCACTTTGACATTAAGGCAGCACAATTCATGCTTTTCACCAGCAAATATCAATGCTCGCAAACAACGTTCATTGGACCAATGCAAACAAAAGGATGCGAGTTGTAGTTAACGGTGCAATCGTAAAGACGCGTTGCTCGATTCAAATCAACATTTGAAGCATTTCTTTGTGCACTTCGAAGATTATATAACGAAGATATAACTCTCTGTAGATTAAAAGTTTCACGGCCCTCTTTGCTTTGAAAAGCACGAATTTGAGCCTTACTTCGTGCCATACTAACGCGGCGTTCTTCTCGTGCGATTTCTCGTTCTTCATTAGTTTATTGATTAACAATATTCCGTTGCCTGATTACTACAGACTTACTGTAAACTAATACAGATTCGTTGGGAAAGATTTGATCGTCTAGGCTGTGGCATCGTTATTAATATTATTTTATTACTCGCACAAAACAAACAATTCTACCATTACTGTAAGGACGTTTTAAGCTGGCTATTTAAATAAGAAAGTACTTTAATATTTTGCATTTAATTTGATAGTATACAAACAACATGTTCAGCATCAACAGCCCTTTTTAAAAAAAATTACAAACATTACGAAAAAGAAGTTTACACTTTCGCGACGTAGACAATATTTATATACTGCACTTTTCAAGCTTTGTATTTGATCTTAGAAAAAATTACACACAACATGAAAAGGAAATTTAAGCTTTCCGACATAAATAATAGATTTGCTCTGCACTTTTTCATTTTTGTAATAGATCGTGAAAAAAAATCACAGACAAAATGAAAAGAAATTTACGCTTGCGCGACATTTTGCCAAATATTCTTTTTACCTACCATTATCTAACAACAACAGACAAAATCTAGAAAAATACAAAAATATTAAATATCAATAAATTATTTACATACAGTACATGTCATTTTGTACAAAAAATACGTTTAAAATCAATGCACTCGCTCATACATTTCCCTAATAGATCACATCGATATTTAACCAGAAATAGACATAACCATATGTAGAACTGGTGTAGGAAAAAAAAGTATTCGATTTGTGGGAGCACATTTATACAACAAACTGTCTGAGGAAATTAAAGGATGCAAAATCAATTCATTGTTCATAACACACCTAATAAACAAATTACTAACTGCTTACATTTATAAACTCTGTTACCCGTCTCAGACTGTTGTTTGTGTCATACATATATTTAGGACAGCTTCTATATGTTTATCACGTTTTAAGTGAACTATGTAATGTTCTTTTTGTGATAAATAAATGTCTTTAACCTGAACCTTGAAAAGAAAAACATTTCTCTTGGCCAATTATATGTAGTATAGTCACGCAGGTAACATTAATTATAATATTAATGGGTGTATGTGTAGAATAGCATCCCATTATAAGGCTCAATGTTGTGGTTTTTATGTGATTGGAATATCTACTTCAATCATGATAGCGGAGGTTATTGCTAAACAAGCGTCATATATATTGCTTTTAAGTTAATTATTATCTAGGTGTTTTAAAAAGTTTTATTATTTTTATAGGTACTATACTCGTTAATTTTGTATGTTTTAATTGTATATTACTTATTAAGAGTATGAATTTTGAAAAATATTGCAAATACGATCAGGTTGGGTGTGGATAGTCATTAGAATGCAATGAATCATCAGTGCGAATTATGTATGTTACATAATTCGCACTGATGATTGGTGCTCTATTATTATAACTCTACTAGCTGACCCGGCAAACGTTGTTTTGCCATATAAATTATTTGTAGGGTAGAAAGAAATGTTTGTGGTTAACCTTTTTAACCTTAACATTTAGGGGGATGAAAAATAGATGTTGTCCGACTCTGGACCATAATTGGGCTCCGGCTACCTCATTCACCAGACGAAACGCGAAAGTATTTGTCATACTTACACTTTACGCCGGTCTTCTGTGAGGTCGTGGGACTTACCCAGGCGAGCCTGCCCATTCGTGCAACAGCCGAGGCTGCTGCGTGGCTCTACCACCGTTGAAATGCACACAAAATTTCACGAAAATCGGTCGAGCCGTTTCGGAGGAGTTCAATTACAAACACCGTGACACGAGAATTTTATATATTAGATTAATAAAAAGTACGGGTGCGAAGTCACTGGAAAGAGCTAGTAAGTACATAATTCCTCGAAATTGCTAAATATATTGTAAGAAGATCTTGTATACATTTATGCAAAGTCACTGTATCGTTATTGCGCAAGGAAAAATGGAAGGTCAAAATGAATGTCTTAGATTAGATATCGGATTTTAATATCGAAAGATATTAAAATATTCATACCTATGCAATTTCAAACACAAGATTTACGATATCAATAGTGAGTAGAAACTGCAATATACAATAAATTTTCCAAAAGAAACTGCATAGGTAATTAACACAAAATAATCACATAATTATATGTTCGCTGTTAAACCCATTTTTTTATTTTTCGTTACTTCCATTTTTTTTAATTAACTTTAAAAATAAATAAGCTCACGTGTGGTAGCGTCCGACTATGTCATCTCCATAAGATTAAACAAGCCACGTTCAAAATATTCACCTGGTTGAAGACGCCGCGCAGGGAAGAGTACGTTTCGCCTTTAACGTAAGGCGGAAGAGTTGCCGTTGAACTGATGCTGCGCAGAAAGCTTTGCAGTGCCTCGTACTCCTCATCACTGTGGGTCTTCTTGCTCTTGACCTGCGGCTTCCGACTCTCCGCGAGCATCGCCTCGTGGGCTCCATCGCTGTGTCCGAAATAGTGTTCTAATATTACTAAAAGGGTCCGATTCTGTTACATGGGGAATTTGTCAGGGATTGACTAAATTAAAAAAACTAATGTATAAGTCCATTAAAGTTTCAATATCTGTATATATATAATATTTGTGTTGTATAAAAAATGTATCCTTAAATATTTTTATTTTATTTAGTTAAATTATTTTTTGATTAATTCTTAGACATGTACGTTCCTTCTTCATTCATGCTCAATGTTTTCCTTTCACGACTAGAACGTAAGTGAGAATATGAATTTTCAGTAAACGATTTTCTAGATACCGGGGCCAGCTTCGTCCTTACGTCAAAAACATTAACCTATATATAGCCTATCATTCATTTATATTGTTCATACATCTCGTCAAAAACCGTATTATTGTACACGATACCGTAAAATAGCAGACCATTTTCGTAACACTTACCCAGTGTTGGGAAAGTTATTTGTCATCGGGAAATTAGCCCTCTGAAGCCCGTCCTCGATAAAGTACTCGAGATACACAATACTCTCTCAATACCAGCACTTCGAAAAGACGTTTGTCACCACTTATTGGGTATGTATTTCTTAGCATACAACAAACAACGTTTATGATGATCAGAACAAATATGATGAGAAACATCAACAAATGTTTTCTGTTACCTATTTGGGATCAATTATTCCATATTACGACTACGGTATGTTAAAAGAAATGAGTGATCCATAAAAGACTAATTATTCGATAAACTTTGGGTTCTGTTTATTAATCTTCTTAATCGGACATTCTTGGCAGAGTGGTCGTGGCTGTCGATGGACAGGATTGCGTCTCGTCGTCGCTGTTCGCTTCCAAGGCCGCACGTCTTGCGATGTTCCTCCATCTTATTTAGTTTATTAATGGTTATATTTATTATTTATTATTAATGGTTAATTTACCACATACACATAAAATGGAAGTTCATTAACAATTGTGTATTGATCCAGTGTGTTCATTTGAAATATTGGCAGTAGATAAATATTATTTAATTTGACACTTTGAGCCTTCAATTGAAACGTAATTACAATTAAATTTCAATACAACGAAGGAATAAGGCATAAAAAAGTAAGTATATAAATAATTTTCTGTGGTTGAATTTCTTTCTCGTGCCATCAATCATGTCGTTAATGGTATTATGTTTGTATAATAGTTAGGTTTTTACGACTCTCCGTCCGCCCGATGTCAACCCTCCAAGGGAAAAAACATGTAGTTCCTAAATAATTAATTGCGGGTCGCACAAATACTTGTGACGTATCGGAATTAAACCTACGATCCGACAACAAAATCAAAAGCTTAGCAACTGAGCAAATGAGACATTAATTGATATAAAGTAATAAATGATGTGAAACCAGACAAGACTAGACTATTTTATGTTTTTGTTCATTATCCTGAGAGCAGTGTGTGAATTGGCAAAACTTAAATTGAGCATATTAACTTTTATAAGGGTAACAATTCCTCTTATTTGCGTACAGCAGTTTGAAATAAATTAATTTTATTAAAGAAAAATGCTATTGGGACATGCCTAAAGAGGAATAATAAAAGTAGAACAGCTGTTCATTTTAAGCCTAGAGTACAATAATATTATAAAATAAAATTGTTAATGGTCTAAGGAGCCACAATTATTGCCATGTTAGGCAATTTTCGATGTGATAAGAATTTTAGATACTCGTCACCAACATGCCAATATAACGTGTTTTGTATCCATTAATACATGGATGGGAAAAAAATATTTGCAATTCATCAACGTTACATCGTACCTATAATAATCTTCTATAAAACAAACATTGTAACAATGTATGAAAACTGGCTTAATAATGATAACGATGTCATTCATATTATTATTCACATCAGTGGAAGAATCACAGAAGTGGATTCAGATAGGCTGAAATGATGATGATGATAAATAATAAACGAAGAATGAATATTAAACCCCAGTGTTCTGCCTTCTCTCGACAGGTTTTAATTTTCTTATGAAATGTGTTAATGGAAGAAACCTGACCTAATTTATTAAATTTTAAATATTATCTCTATTACAAAGTTCTAAAGTAGTTACAGATACTTATAACACTTTTACAACAATCTAGAAGTTTTTTCAGTTTGTGAGTGACCTTCCCACTATGAATCAAGAATTAATTATTTGCTACTTTAATAGATCAACTGTACAATGAACAGTAATACTATTTTAAAAGGTCATCTTCATTTCCATTTTAAGAATATCTATTCGATAGGAGACTATGTATATTTTATTCGGTATTCCCAAATGTGCCCAAATTAATCTACGAGTTTGTAATAAAAATATTTTGAGGTACCTATATTTAACAAAAAACAAGTTATACTGCAATCTACTGAGTTTAACGGTAATAAATAAGGCACTATTGTTATATTATTATCTCGTTACATAGATATGATCATCAGTTTAATAATTTCTAATCCAAAAACCTTGAAGGAAACGGGCGATAGCGGCCAAATTTTGAACTCATGCCAATAGCTACTTTTTTAACGTGCATAAAATAATTCGTTTGAGATTTCCTTTTTTTAGACATTGTTTCCTTACGATGTGTAGCTTTCCGCTTCGAACACGTCAAAATTCAGCGCTTCAAATCAACATTCCTTTAAATTTTATGAAGAGACTAATAAAATTACGGTGGTAGGGCCACGCAACAGTGTTCGCTGTTGCACGAATGGGCAGGTCCGTCCAGGTTAGTACCACGACCTCAAAGAAGACCGACGTAAAGTAGAAGTGTTGCACTTCTGCGTTTCGTCTGGTGAGTGACGCAGCCGGGGCCCACATTATTAAGAGGTGGCAACGCATCTGCAACTCTACAATGGGTGTTGCAAATGTCCATGGGCAGGCGGCTATCACTTAACATCAGGTGAACCGCCAGCACTTTCTCACATAAAACAAAAATAAGAAAACTGAAATTTAGCTTATTACAAAAGATTAATTATTGATATAATTTTGATGCATTGTTTTCTATTATTGGTCTCGACACAAGATTTATTAATATTCCGATAGCGACTTTATTTTTAGCGCATTTGATAAGCGCGTCATAACTTCTTGATGGAGCAGTAAAGATGTTGCACAAAAATAATGTATTCAGTTGACCCCGATTTCCTTAAAGGGGAAATATGTCATTTTTTATGATAAAAATGTACGTCAATCTTTTCATAGTCATATGTGAAGGTTTTTACGATTTGAACGTTTAGTAACATAGCATTTAAGGACAAACAACCGTATAATTTTTATATAGATATAATAAAATAGGTGACATCCATAAACAACTAAGTATAAACAATTTGAAACAATTTGTAAAAGCAACTTAAAGGCAAGGGCCTACTATAATGTCCAAGAATACATTGAGGACAAGACTTGGAAATGACTCTTGCTCTGCACTTGCAAGACCCCTGGCTGCTTGCTGATTTTATACCTAATTAAGTTTGTATAATTGCATCACAAAAAATAATAACAAAAACCACAAGACCGCAGAGTTTCTTGCCGGTTCTTCTCTGTTCAGGTCTAGTTTAGTGAACCGGTGGTAGATTTTTTGCTGACGTTCAATAAGAGCTAAAGTTAAGTCTATATTGAATAAAGATTATTACTTGGAATAATTCAATGTTTTCCGCCAAATGCGGGAAATAATGTTCACACATTCATGAATATACGTACAAACGTTGGAATGTCACAATGTAAGTGTTTACTGTAAAGTTGTAAAACCCAAAACTATATTTAACTAGGTAAATGACTAAGTACATTTAGATTATGTTTGAATTAAATGTGCGATATTATTTACAGAGTATTTTGCTTCTATTTACTCAAATAGATATTGTTAAATGAAACTATTTTTGGGTTGGTTTAACATCTCATTAATTAACAGATTTCAAGTCACCAAACAACATTTTATTGTCAAAATTGGAGCACCGAAAACATGCCTAACTTTTTTCATGATCCTTACCTCTGTATTTTCACTATTCTTAATCTACGTTTACAGTACAATGCATAACCGAAAAATAGTAGCACCATTGTGACTTCAAATGAATGGTATTTTTTTAAAAGATCTACCACTCAATGCACCACACAACCCGAAGGGAATACCGATACTACTGACCAGTGATACACAGCAATGTATTGGAGTAACCCTTAACCCCGAGATATTGCACTACAATTGATTTTCTGTTTATTGACAAAGCTAATGCAAACTCCGTTACACCGATTTAAGCCACCGTGTCAACGATGAGAGGGTGATTATTAAACTGCTTTACCAGCGTTCACACTTTATTTTATTATCATTTATTAAATTTTAGATACATAATAAAGTGAAGTCCATATTAGTCCCACTGCTGGGTAAAGGCTTCTGTAACGAGACTATTAGGTGGTATATGGTCCATCTCGTGACCCCACTGCGAATTAGCAGACTTCACATATTTTCGAGATATTTTTTTATATGTTTTTTATTATTTGGTAAATATGCTGGTTTATGCACGACATTTTCTTCTACCGCTGACGTTCGAATAATTGATATAGATATTCGTGAAATAATGCCAACAATCGACCACAGAGATTTATTTTTTCGATGGGCGAAAAATAGTCAAATGCCCACGTGATATATATTTAACATTTACTTAATTGACATTACATATATGTATCTATATTGACAAAACGATTGTGGGTCTCCCTAAATGATCAATTTTCCTAAGGTATAAAACCCTCTTCTATTATTGTATGAATGTCCGGGCTCACTTGGGAAAATACCCCGAGGCCTATTAGAAGACCGACGTAAATTGGAAGTGATTTTTTCTTTGGCGTGTCAACGTGACTACATACAGACATCTTACATGCATTTTTTATGTGAAAAAGTGGCAAATGAGCTGGCGGTTCACCTGATGTAAAATGAAAACCGCCGCCCATGAACATTTGCAACACCCGTAGGGTTGCAAATGCGTTGTCACCTTTAAATAAAGTGGGCCCC